AGGGTGACAGCTTGAGGCTTTGTCTCAAAAAAAACAAAAAACAAAAAACCAGACCTGCAACCTCTGGCCTCCATGGTATCACACTTTCCTCAGAGCCTCCATGTATGCTGATCCCTTTGTCAGAAGCACCCTGCCACCTCCTTCCCCAGTGCCTCCTCAGAGTCTTTACTGACCAGTCTCACTTTGACCCTGCAGGGTTGGAGTTATTTCTGTGTGAGGCCTCCTAGATGGCCCACATGTTTGATGTGGGCCATCCCAGAACTTTGCCCCTGAGCAGAGTGGGGTGGACTCATTCATTCTTCATCTCAAGGGACCCACATGAACCTATCCCATGGTTGAATGAATAAGGGTTGTGCCTAATAAGTGCTGACTTCCAGTTTCAGCTGAGGGTGGCAGGTGGTCAGTGTCTCTGAAGCCATCAAAGCTCTGTATCACAAGGGCTGTGATACAAACTTGCAAATAATAGGCACCCACTGTATGTACAGTCTTTGCTTTCCTCCAGGTCAGGTGAAACGCCTCACTCAGGATGGTATACAGTAAGTACTCAAGGCATGCGCATTGCCTTTTCAGAGACACATATCACAGGAGGCTAACGCATGCTCACGTCTTACTATTTCACTCCCAGAACTTTGCCCCTGAGCAGAGTGGAGTGGACTCATTCATTCTTCATCTCAAAGGACCCACGTGAACCTCTCCCATGGCTGAATGAATAAGGGTTGTGCCTAATAGGTGTTGACTTCCGGTTTCAGCTAAGGGTGTCAGCTGAAAGGGTGTCTCTGGAGCTATGAGCAAGTTGCTAAGACTCTGGAGCATGTGTTTGCTCCATCCTGGAAATACAGGAGCCCTACCCTGACTGGGATGAGTGCACACAGGAAGGCATGAGAATGTGTGCCAGGGCTACCCACAAGTGCTGAGCTCACCTGGCCTTCAGACGAGACCTCAGCTCCTGTCCCAGAAGTCCACAGTGACTGCTCAGTGAACCTTTGCATGGAGGGGGCTGGGGATAACTGAGTATCTTAGATTTGGGATGAGAAAGCGAAAGGACCTGGAAAGAGTGTGGCCACAGAGCTGAAGGACTGAACCGGAGTTTTCAGCAACAACCAGAGCAGCGTCCCCTTGACTCTCGGGGGCCCTGGGCTTCCCCTTGGAGTCTCGGGAGAGGAAAACAGCCTGCCCATCAGGCCGCAATCTTTTCTAACTTTCCTGCCTGGTCACTGTCCCTACCTTGCAGGCGCTTGGCCTCTGGTCCACCTGAGATGCTCGCGCGGCCGCGGGGTCCACCAGTACCAGCAGCAGGGGCAGGAGTAGCAGGAGCTGTGACCGGGCCATCGTAGCAGGGGTTAAAGGTGTGGCAGAGAGGGCAGCTGCTGGGCGAATGAGCCTCCTTTAAGTGGCGGTGCCCCAACCCCCAAGGCGGGACCGCCTCCCGGTGCCCCCGCCCCCTCCCCGCCCCCGTGGCCCCTGGCCAGCGTCTCTGAGATCCCAGCGTCCTTTAGTGGGGTTTCTGCTTTTCTGTTTGGGTCTCCCTTTCTAACTGGACCCCTGCCAGGTGTGGGGCCAAGTCACGAGGGCCGTTGAGCTGCGCTCGGGTGGCTCCTTCTCCCTCCTGGCAATCAGCCCTGCTGGGTCACGTGAGGCTCCTGGCAAGAGCGCCGAGGGGAGGGGAGTGAGGTGGGGCTTTCACAGACAGACCTGCCGAAAGGCCAAGAGAAATGGGGATATCTCCCGGTGCCCACGGACCTTCTGGGAGCGCTTAGGGTAATCCAGCCTCGGTCCCCAGCCTTTCAGATTCTCTCTAGGGTAGAGCCTGTGCTCTGTGGGGGACAACCCCCCTTCTGCAAGTGGATAGAATTTGGCAGTCAGGGTCCCCTACATTCTGCCTGGCCTGGGAGCCACCCGATTTACAGGACCTGTTCCTAGTTCCATCCCCCTCAAGTTCTCCAGGTCTGATGTTCACCCAGGTCCCGTGGGGCTGACTCAAGATTGGCCATGGCTAGGCCAGAAAACAGAAGCCAGCACAAGGAGAGGTCCCCCACCCCAGCTTGCGATGAGGGAGAGGAGAGCGGCATTCTTTCTTTCCAGTGTCCAAGGCTTGCAGGCAGTGGGGCCATTCTGCTCTTGGAAGGCTCCTGGTGGGGGGAAAGAAATGAACCTGCGCTGGTTACAAGAGGGGAGGTGGGGAAGCTATGTAGGACAATCTGGCTGGAGCCAGCCTGGCCCCTACTTTCACTCTGGACTCTGCTGGGGTCCTCAGTTTCCCTTTCTCTAAAATGGAGAGAATGTGAAGTTTGGAAGTTACAGCTACTATGGAGGGTTCAGAGGCAGTGGGAGAGTTGCCCCAGGCTGGGTGTTGGGGGGCATATGGCAGGGTCTTGTGACCTTAGGTGCCTGCACAGGACAGCAGTGAAGGCAGAGACCATGGCTTATGTGAAAAGGCTGATGGAGGCTGAGGGTATTGGGAAAATAACTGAAATGTTCAGACTCCACCTAGTCTCGAAGTCCAAGACAAAGGACTGGATCCCAAATAAGGAAACACCTCACACCTGGCTAGGAGAAGCAGCTAAGCCTTCAGCTCTGAAGCCTGTTCCCTCCACTTCGGGATATGTCCACACAGGTAGCAGCAGGGTTGGAAGCTAGGGTCTCCCTGAAGTCTCAGTGGCTGGCTGAACCCCTACCCCTCAGATGACCAGAACAACCACAAAGCCCTTTTCCTTCTCACAGGCTCCTCAAGACTCAACTTTGGTGCTTACCTTATGCTGGGCAGGATTGAAGAAATATAATAAATGTAACTGCTATGATTTCCCCAGTGGTTACCTAGCACCTGCCCTATTGGAAGAAATGATAAATGTAACCTCCCAAGTTATTACTCTTACTTGGGTTCCAGGTATAGATTGGATTCTAAACCTACTTTATCAGTGGTGTCTAGTGGAGGTTGGGGAGAACGGACTACTGAGCCTGATAACAAGAAAAATGGCTGATCAGAGAGGGGAGGGTAATTTACCAAGGACACACAGCAGGTGGTTGAGTGCGGCTAGAGGCCATGTGGGTGGTGGTCACCTGCCCCCTATCCCTATCTCATCTTGGCTGGGACCATGGGAAGAAGATGGGGACCATCATCCTGTGACCACTCATTCAGGGGGAGGGAGTGGCTGTGCTGATTTATGGGGGCCCCCTATAGCCACAACGTGGGACCTGGCAGGCTAAGTGCTGGGGCAGGTTGGAGAGAGGGGTCAGGGGAAGACACCAAACTCTGGATGGAAATGCTGGCCCTTTGAGAACTTCAAGGACATGAGACTCTTATGGGTGGCATGGGAGGGGTTGTTGACCTTGTGACTATTAATGTCATTTGGCAATGAATGAGGAAGCTACAGGTAAGATAGGATAGGTAAGTTTCCCAAGGTCACTGCTGGTGCCTACAACAGGATTCAAACCTGGGATGACCAGGCTGGAGTCCTGGAATTCTTCAAGGAGTTAAGTGGGGATCTCCTTAACAGACCAGAGTGTGGGACAGGAAATCAGAATTGAAATTTCTCCATTATGTGACCTTCAATCTCTCAACTTTTCAGAGCTAGAGTTGTTAAATGGGCTGGGTGGGGGGGGAGTTCTTGGACTTCAGATATGGCCTAGAGTTAAACCATAGCCCTGGCTTGCTGTGAGCCACAATCGCCAGGGCCCCCAGCAGACAGATGTCACATTGAAGCCCAGTCACTGACAACAGAATCAACCACCATGTTCAATGTTTTATATCCTTATCAATAACAACGTACCGTACAAAACCTGCCTCCTGGCTGAGCCAAGCAGGCAGTGTGGCGGCCACAGGCAGCGTAGAAAACCAGGGCTCTTGTCCCAAAAGAGAAAAGAGGGTTTTGTAGTGAAGGGAAAATAAAATCAAAACCCAACATGATCGAAGAGGAGCCCTAAATCTGCATCCACTGGAGGCGCTGTGGGCAGTGTCGCACATCTCAGCCACTGAGGCGGCACCAGCAGGGGGTGTGGGCTGCGATTCCCTGGGGAGCTGGGGCCAGCTCACAACTTTATTTTTAATTATTTGTCTGCAGGGTGGGGGAACTTCTCATAGTTGCCCCATCATGGGGATAAGTCGGCAGCAGGTTTCACTTCTGGGTTTGGAGGGGAAGTTGGGGTCCATCGGGGCAGGTCCCGCCCAGCCCCGAATGTCACGGCCAAGGTTCTTGGAAGCAGCGGAGGGAAGTTCCTTCCTGCCCTGACCCCAGGTCTATGGCTTAAAAATTGGGGCACCCAGGCTGGGGCCGCACAGCTCAGGGGCCTCTGTAAACATGGCAGGTGTAGCCAGGAGGGGCTTCCTGGACCCCAGGGGCCTGTGGTGGGCAGGGCAGAGGGTCAGGGTGGCCAGAGCCAAAGGGAGGGCAATGCCCAAGGAGAAGGGGGACAGGTAAGACCCCCAACATGGAGACAGAGAGACAAAGACAGATGGAAATAAAGAGACAGAGTGGTAGGAAGAGAAAGAGGGAGAGAGGCTTGGAGAAAAAGAGAGAAAAAAAGAGAGATGCTGAGAGAACCCCAAAGAAGAGAGAGCAAGCAAGATGGAGACCCTTGGATGTGGCTGGTCTGTCCTGTAGTCCAGGGGTGGCTCTGCTCAGCACTGGGTTCTCAGTGGTGCTCAGCGGGCAGCAGGTGGCGGGCCAGGGCCTGGAGCACGCACAGGGTGAGCGAGGGTGACAGTAAGCGCATCATTGTGCTGCACCAGTGAGGCGTGTTGGTAGTGCAACACCAGCTCCTTCAATGACCCATACAGGTTGTAGGGTTCTGCGAAGCCAAAGCCGGTGGCCGTACGGTAGATGACGCAGTGCTTGGTGTCACCGTCCACCCTATGGGGGCAGATGAAAGGGGAGGTCAGGCAGGCTTCCCACTAGGTTGTCCTGGCTCCAGTCCAGTCTGCTCCCCTGGTCCTTACAATCCCTTCTTGCTCTGGCAATTGCTGGGGGCTTCTTCCTTGTTGCCTTATCAAGGCCTAGCACAGAGTAGGTGCTCAAAGAGAACTCTAGAAGGAATGTAGGGATCCCCTCCCACCCCCACTGCCAGGCACTCACACCACAGAGCAGGCATAACAGCCCCGCTGGCTGCTCTCGCGGATGAGGAAGGTGCCGTCTCGCTTGCCACTCAGCATTTCCTCTGCCTGTGTGCGGTTGATCTTGCCCACGTACCATGTGCGTTCCTCATGGTGGGGGAGATCATCCTCATCCTCCATCAGTGCGTACTGGCTGTAGGGGAGGTGGTGGGGAGCCTGGTCACTTACCCGTCAGCATTTGAGGCTCTCCCTCTCCAACAGCCCGGACAACTCTTCCTCCCTGGTGAACTATTCATTCTTCAAAACCCACCCCAAATGGCCCCCTCTTCTAGGAAACCTCCCTCCCTCCAAGTGATCACTCACTCCTCAGTCTCGTTTTTGATCCCCAACCACTCGTTGATTTTCTTCTGCCGGGCACCTTTCTGGGTGAGCCATCTGAGAGGGAAAAGGAAAGGTGGGCTTGTGCCATTCTGCTGGTAGCAAGTCCACAGTAGGCCTATCCAGTGTGGTAGGAGCCAAGGGCTGACCTAGGAGAGCGGGTTCTGGGTACAACATCTCTGGTTGCCACAAGGGGGCAACCTTGATCTGGCCTAGGATAGTGTGAACCCAGGCTGGCTTCCCTCTCTCTGCTAGGGAACACAACCACCTTGATTTAATTGCCTCTGTTAACACTTAAGAATGTCCCTCCCAACCCTAAAATGCACCAGCCTAGGCGAGGCCTTAGTATCACCAGATGGTCAGTCCTGAGGGCCGCATAGCACTTTTGGCCTTTGCACATAGCTGCTGTCTGCTCTATGCCTCAGTGTCTAAAAGATTGAGGAGCTGGGCATGGTGGCTCACACCTATAATCCTAACACTCTGGGAGGCTGAGGGAGGTGGACTACTTGAGCTCAGGGGTTCAAGACCAACCTGAGCCAGAGAAAGACCTTGTCTCTACTAAAAATGGAGAATTAGCTAGTCATTGCATTGGTTGCCTATAGTCCCAGCTACTCAGGAGGCTGAGGCAGGAAGATCACTTGAGCCCAAGAGTGTAAGTTTGCTATGAGCTATGATGATACCATGGCACCCTACCTAGGGTGATATGTAAAAGACTGAGAAGGGACTAAATTAACTGTTAATAAACTATACACAGTGCTTAGCACAACACCCAGCATATGGCATACATGAATGTCTGAGGCTTAGGTGGGAGGCAGAGGGGCCCTTGTTAAAGTCCTCACTAGGTCAGCAGGTGGAGGTTGGATTTGAACCCAGGCTGGGACTGCCATAGCCACCCCAGATGCCAGGCTGCATGGCAGGCATTTATGTTGAAGGCTTCCAATCCATCCCTGCAAAAATGGTGCTTCCAGTTCCTAGATGCCTGGCAACATTGAGGCTGATGCATGGGGAGCCTGTGTAGGGCCCAGGAGTGACAGAGTTCCACGCCTGACTGAGAGGAAAGGGGACAGATGAAGGATGTGAGGGCAAGGTAGGGCCATCTGGTGGAGAAACAGAGAATGAGATACCGACAGAGATCTCCAAGTGCCCCAGTGCTATAGGGGGACGACACCCAGGCAAGTACAGGCCAGCCACTCACACGAGGTACTGGTCCCGGATCTTGCGCAGCTGCATAAGGTCTGGCTTGAGGCTATTCATGCGCTTGTCAATCTCCCGGTTGTCTGAGGCCTGTGCTCGAAGCTGCTGCTCCAACTTTGTACGGCTCTCATGGATCTCGGCAATGCGAGACTTGAGCCGTTCTGAGTTCAGCAGGATCCTGTGGGAGGGATGGCTCAGAGGCCTCAGATGGCTCCAGGATTTTCCTGGAGACCTACTTTGTACCAGACTATGTGTTTCTAGTTTCTAAGCCTGAGCACATGCTATTTCCCTTGGTCTCTCTTTCTGGCAAATTCTTATTCATCCTCCAAAGCCCATTACAACTGATTACCCTTCCCCTACAAGGGAAGCCTAGCTGTCCCCTTCAATTTCCTTCCTTTCCTTGCTTGCATGGCACCAAATCATGGTGGGGTAGGGCAGGGTTGAGAAGCCAGACTCACCTCTGCATCTCCTTCTCATTACCCTCACGCCGGAAGCGCTCCAGATATTCCTTGCTGCACTTCTCCTGTGTCTGGCCCTGCTCCTCAAAGATCTTGATGGTCTCATTGAAGGCCTCAATTGCTGTGCGCTTCATCTGTAGTTCCTGGAGGAGGGGGTGCATCTTAGTTATCTCTTGGGACTCCTCAAAAGCCTCTCATGAGGGGTGAAGGCAGATCCCAACTCTGATATGGAGACTCTGCTCAGGTGTTCCTTCTACTGGGAGCACCATTCTTCTAACTCCTATTCCATCAAATGAACTCCTACTTAGCCTCTAAAACCCTACTCTGCAAACCCCTTCCCCTCATCCTTTACATCTTCCGGTGGGTACCTACAAAAACCTAGATCTGTTAAGACTGCTGAGAATTAATGATAAATCTGATTGCTACAGTTCATAGAGCTTCTTTTCTGGGGTAGACATTGTACTAAGTATTTCCTATCTATTATCTCACAGAACCTCTCAAAGCCTCCTACAAAATCTGAACTGTTAATGAGGGCCTAAGTAGTTCCTTGGGTCACCATGTTTCTAACTGATCCTAAACAGACATCCAGTCCACTTAGAGCCTTGGTCAACCCATCAGGAGAAAGGGGATAGAAAGCAAACCCTTAGGGTAGGCGTCCTCAAACTATGGCCCGCCAGCCACATACGGCCCGCCAGCCACATACAGCCCGCCTAGGACATCTATCCAGCCCACCAGGTGTTTTTGCCGCCGCTGCCTGTCCTGCTTAGCAGCTGACTCATCCTGGGGCCCATAGTCCAGCCCTCCAATGGTCTGAGGGACAGTGAACTGGCCCTGTTTAAAAAGTTTGAGGACTCCTGCCTTAGGGACTACGGAGGGTTTGAGTAATTCCTGGCTGGACACAAGATGTTCAATCTGAATCTGTTCCCTTTTAACTTGCAAAAGAAGCTTGTTAATATTCCCTCAGTGACAATAGCTCCCTGTTTTAGAAAATGCTGTCCTGGCTCGGCGCCTGTGGCTCAAGTGGCTAAGGCGCCAGCCACATACACCTAAGGTGCCGGGTTCGAATCCCCAGCCC